AGTTCTCGTATAATGATATCCTTAAATTTTGTGTCCAGACTTCCAGTTTGTACTGAGAAAAAGAAAAAGTCATTGACAATGTGCTCACTTGGGCCTTTGGTCCCAGTGACATTATAATACGACTATTTGCAACGGTACATGTACTTGTTATATCCAAAATGCTAACTTCATTGAAATTTATCTCACCCTAGTTTTATGGTACTACAGTGAGCTCTTCCTCAGTTACTGTGAATTCTTTTATTAAAAGAGATTGAGGGTTAACTTGACACTGGAGTTGTAACCACTGCTCATATATGTGTATTCAAATAATATAACTACGGGCTTAATACTTCACAAATATCTCCAGAAATAGGCATTTTAGTTATAATTGCAGAAATACTTTATGAATGACCCCTTCACTATTGCCTTGATCTTACACTTCAACCCTTCATGAGTTATCACTTTTGAGTGTGAATTTGACCTTCAATATCAATGATAAATATTTCAAAAACATTTCAAAGAGCTATCCAGCATATAAACCAAATATGCAGTCCTTTGGTAGAATTCAACATATCATTGAAAAAAATATAAAAATAATATAACCAGTATATGTATAAAAGTTCCTTAGATTTCTGCAGAAAAGGCAATTTAGGGGAAAATGTAGTATATATAGGTCACGCACGACCTTTTTTCCAACTTCGACCTCTGCCCAAAGGAAGAGTTAGACCACATACAAACATTTTGTCTGGTTGTGACTTTGACAAAACAGATCAATGTGTCATCAGACGTTCTCAGAGCTAAGGAAACAAGTGTTATTTATTCCTGAGATGCCCACATTGAGGCAAAATCATGAAACATCCCCATTTACACAGCTGGCAAATGAAACATAAGCAACAATCAAATTATCAATTTCTTTTATTCATATGCCTATAGTATATCGCCCATTGAACAGTGTTCACATGATGGTTCCTGATGGAGTATGCAATTTCATCCTATTCAATACTCATAACAGAGTGTGATAACTGTTCTCTTGTCAGTGCCTACGGATAATGTTCACCAGTTCAGAGGACTTACTTTCCCTCAATCCTTCTTTTCTTTCTATATTGCCATGGATGAACAGGAACCAGGATGAGGGTATGCCAGTTGGACAATCTCTGCTGCATTGTGTTAGTAGAATTGTGAACTTTCCATTTCGTGTTTGGGCCCACATTGAAAGACAATAAGTCCCATTTATCATTCCTGTCAAGTGTTTACCACATGGCTCAAGACAAGAATTTCTTGAATGTCCTGTAATCAAAGCTATCTGACTTATTTTACTGACATTTTTCGGAGCTACACACTGTCCAAAATGTTTTAATGCACAAAACACACTCGCTGTACATTTGAGGGTTTTTGGGTGGTATGATGTTTATATGGGACTTTTCCCCTCCCTGTTCTGAAACATCTTTGTAGCTTGAACAGATGATATATACTGAAGTAAGTAAATCAATATACTTCCATTAATTGGACTCTTCCTACATGAAAATAACATGCTTAAGTTTTATTCCATTGATTCAAGTGTGTACTAGCGAACACGCTAAAAGTATATCCTAATAAGTGAGTGAGTATGGTTTTACGCCGCTTTTAGCAATATTCCAGCAATATCACGGTGGGTGGCACCAGAAATGGGCTTCACACATTGTACCCATGTCGGGAATCGAACCCGGGTCTTCGGCGTGACGAGGAAACGCTTTAACCACTGGGCTACCCGACCGCCCCTTGTACAGTTCAGCAGCGGAATTATGTATAATAATTCTTTCCTGATATTTTCCGGTGTTGTGTTTATGGTTATTCACAGTCAATGTTATGAAATGTGTGTACAGTTGAAACGTAGCAACAGACGCCAACGAACCGTGAGACTATCGTTGTCACAACAAAATATATTTTGCGGCCAATATGTAAGTGGTGGTGTATGTTCACTGCACATCAACGTTCAAGTTGACGATATAATTTATTCATCTGTAATACTTTTGTAAAGCCAAACCACAGTGTCCCATTGACAACGAGAAGCTGGTGATCATTGTGTTTCACTCTATAACATTGGATTCACTCCAGAATATTCGATTTTAACATGTACCACTGGAACACATATAATTATTTGGATTGGATTGATTTGTTGTTTAACGCCGCACTCAGCCATATTCCAGCTATATGACAGCGGTCTGTAAAATAATCGAGTCTGGACCAGACAATCAAGTGATTAATATCATGAGCATCGATGGACGCAATTGGGATCGATGACATTTATCAACGGTCATGTCCGTTGGATGTCTCAAACAACAAACTTTTGGAATCAGTGGCGCTGTTTTTTTTTTTTTGCCAAAGGTGTTCTTGCAGTAAAAGTGTTCGCTAAGCATGCCACAGACTCGAGTTCCATTCCAAATGTGGTTCTCACTCATTCCAGTGACGTATTCACATTTGTGTATACATTGCGGATATTCTCAGGAACTTTGATTGTTCCTAATTGTTACTAATATAAGAAGGAGCACGGGTAGCCCAGTCGTGTGAGGCGCCGCGATTCGCTGTGCAGAGTTGCGTCCTTTGGGCACGCAAGAAACCTATGATTGTGGGTTCGAATCCCGGTCAGCACCATACCCGTGCTCGTGGGTTTCACCGAAGTGGTATGCTGTGATATAACTGGAATACTGTTAAAAGCGGCGCTCAATCCAACTCACTCACTCTTAATACTATCATGTACGTTGAATGTAACGGGTACCATTTTGAAAATATTTTCTATATCTATGTGTTCGGAATCAACAGATTGAAGTGTACCCTATTACCCATAAAGACATATGCATATAAGCTATAATAATACCTACTGATCTCTAGATGACAATGAATTCCATATGAAAATGAAATAAGCCTGGTAATACATCCCTTCATGTTCTTATCGATTGTTCCAAGGCTAGATTTTCGATTTTCTATCTTGCTCCTCATAACAGGGTGATGTAAATCATAAATAGAACCACAGCCATTTCTTGGGAAAGAGTGGGAAAATCCAATGGCGGTGTCAGGTATTTTCAGGTAACAACATTAAAAACATCATGTCAACAAAAACAAGTTCGTTCTTTATTAATATAAAATCTCCGATCTGTAAGCTTTATTCATATTATTACACATGTATTTTTATCAGACCCACCTGTTTGTGATTTCTCTCTCCTATTTTCCCTGTACTCAAAATCGAAATCGACTTGCCTTGTGCAATTCCCTGGAAGTTATCGATTATATATAGGATGACAATGAAACTTGCGCAATGTCTCACACGTGACTATATGGATTGTTTGGTCTCCTGGTAACCGAGGTGTTTGTGTAGACTTGATCACCGACGAGCTTCTACATTATGAGGATGGGAAGATCTAGATTAAACTCTGTTGTACGATAGGAACACTTGAAGGAGCACTGTAGGTCCTGACCTGTACCTCGCTGTCTGACACTGCCTGCTGGAGATCATCAGCTGCCGTGAGTTTATGTTTTGTCTGACGCAACTGATCATGAGTGTGACGAGGGATTGTGCTACCGTAGGTATATTAATCAGGACAGCGGGTGTTTAATGTATGTTTAAGTATGGGTATATACTTTTATCTGTTGATCAGGATATAAGGTGCAATTACACTTGACTTGAGGTAAGGGGATTTCAGTTGGGTGAATTGCTTGTTATGTAAATGCATGTACAGCTTGTGATCTGATTGATTCAAGGGAGTAGCTGTTTTTAGTTAAAGTAGGTAGCTTATCGACGAAGGATTTTAAAACACGTGTGATTGTTGTAGAAGGGCAGTGGTGTTTGTAAAGTGATGCGACACAGCCTCGAGTGTTGCCTCTCCCTGTTTTATCTGTAATGTGTGTCTGTTTGTTTGTTATTTAACGCTGCACTCAGCAATATTCCACCTATATGACGGTGGACTGTAAATAATCAAGTCTGGTCCATACAATCCTGTGATTGAAATCATGAGCATTGATCACAGCAATTGAGATATGATGACATCTGCAACTGGGAGCACAATGACCTCCGACCTGTCTTTTTCTGTCCCACAAACCGTTCTGTCCGATATCCGATTTTCCATCCCGTTATACTCTCAACCTTTCCTCTCCCATCTCCAAGATTAATTAACGTGACGTCATAGAGCGCTAGTTACACTGGCCCGTACCAGTCTGCTCCTTGTAACTCAACTTATCAAGCCAACTTGTGAGAATGACTTTGCATATTAATCATGCCATATTGCCGTAATGAATTATTTGTATGGTGGTATTAATACATTCTTCTTAACTGCAGTTAGATTGTTTAGTAAATCCATTTTAATTGTGCGAGTGGTTTTGAGGTAAACGCCTTTGCTTCACCTTGCATCGTAACAGCGTTCTTTTTCAGTTGATCTTCCCTTAATTAACCTGCTAGGTATGCTGACAAAGCCGGTACAATCTTAAAACTTATAGCGCATGTTGTACAGACAGTCAACCAGTACATCCTTCGCCTTTATCAGTAACGTAAAATGTGGAGTATTGTTATAGTCAACCACTAAATTGGTGCGGGTATATGGTGCCGTTTCTGATATGGTGAAACGAGGTACTTGGTTCTGCTAATTGTTCCCGACAGTTCACATTGTTGACGTTTTGCAATTGCTATTTCAAGTATTGCCCTTTATGCTTGAATATTACACAAGAAAATATTTTAATTGTGAGTTTAAAGAATGGGGAAAACCAAATTAGATGTTTGGTATTTACAGGTAACAACATTAAAAACAACATATCTACAAATACAGTATCGTTCTTAATGAATGTATAGTCTCTGATCTGTAAGCTTTGTTTATGATATTATTACATATGTATTTTTGACAGACCCGCATATTTAATGATTTCTCTCACATATTTTCCCTGTACTCAAAATCATCGACTTGCCTTGTGCTATTCCCTGGAAGTAATTGATTATGCACAGGTTGACAATGAAACTTGCGCAATGTATCACCCGTACGCGTGACTATATTGATTGTTTGGTTTCCTGGTAACCGAGGTGTTTGTGTAGACTTGATCACCAACGAGCTTCTACATTTTGTGGAAAGGAACAACTAGAACATACTCTTTTGTACGATGGGAACACAGTTTCACTTTAAAGAGCACTAGTTCCTGACTTGTAGGCCTACCTCGCTGTCTGACACTGCCTGCGTGAGATCATCATCTGCCGTGAGTTTATTTTTCTGTCTGACGCAACTGAGTGTGACGAGGGATTGGGATACCGTAGGTAAATTAATAAGGACAGCGGATGTTTAAAGTATGTTCAAGTATAGGGTGTACTCTTTTATATGTTGACCAGGATATAAGGTGACATTAGACTTGACTTGAGGTAAGGGGATTTCAGTTGGGTGAATTGCTTGTTATGTAAATGAATGTACAGCTTATGATCTGATTGATTCAAGTGAGTAGCTGTTTTCAGTGAAAGTAGGTAGCTTATCGGCAAATCATTTTAAAACACTTGTGATTGTTGTAGAAGGGCAGTGGTGTTTGTAAGTTGATGCGACACAGCCTCGAGTGTTGCCTCTCCCTGTTTTATCTGTAATGTGTGTCTGTTTGTTGTTTAACGCTGCACTCAGCAATATTCCACCTATATGACGGTGGACTGTAAATAATCAAGTCTGGTCCATACAATCCTGTGATTGAAATCATGAGCATTGATCACAGCAATTGAGATATGATGACATCTGCAACTGGGAGCACAATGACCTTCGACCTGTCTTTTTCTCTCCCGCAAACCGTTCTGTCCGATATCCGATTTTCCATCCCGTTATATTCTCAACCTTTTCTCTCCCATCTCCAAGATTAATTAACGTGACGTCATAGAGCGCTAGTTACACTGACCCGTACCAGTCTGCTCCTTGTAACTCAACTTATCAAGCCCAAGATTGATTGATTAACCATCCACATAGTGACTTCTACAAGTTTTGGACCTTGTTCCCAATACCATTTATCCCCCTTAAATGCTAGGTACGCTGACAAAGCCGGTACAATCTTAAAACTTATAGCGCATGTTGTACAGACAGTCAACCAGTACATCCTTCGCCTTTATCAGTAACGTAAAATGTGGTGTATGGTTATAGTAAACCACTAAACCAACAAATACAGTATCGTTCCAAATGAATATATATTATCCGATCTGTAAGCTTTGTTCATAATATCATTAAACAATGTCATGTATTTTCGACAGACGCGCAAATTTAACGATTTTTCTTACATGTTTTCCTTGTATTTAAAATCGACTTGCCTTGTGCTATTCCCTGGAAGATATTGATGACACACGGGTTGACAATGAAACTTGCGCAAGGTATCACACGTGACTAAATTGATTGTTTGGTTTCCTGGTAACCGAGGTGTTGGTGTTGACTTATTTCAACACACACGTAAAAAGGCCAAATGATATCTCCATACCAAACGTTTGTCATGACCTCGGGTTACACAAACAACTAAAATATATTTCATGTGTAATATTCAAGCATCAACGTCAACCATTTTAATACTGATTACAAAACGTCAACAATGTGAACTGATGGGAGCAATCAGCTGATCCCACTGCCTCGCTTCAGATGGCACGTGTGACGTTATCAGAAAGGGCACCATATAACCGCACTCATCAAGAGGTTTACTAAAACAATGTAAGCATCACTGATGTCAGGACTTGACACTAGACATGTCATTGTTTAGACTAAAAGATGTATTGTCCATACACCACACTTTACCTTACTGATAAAGGTGAAAGATGTACTGGTTAACTGTCTATACAACATGCACGGTAAGTATTAAGATTGTGTCAAAGTCTACACAAACACCTCGGTTACCAGGACACTAACCAATCAATATAGTCACGTGTGATACATTGCGCAAGTTTCATTGTCAACCTGTGCATAATCAATTACTTCCAGGGAAAAGCACAAGGCAAGTCGATTTTGAGTACAGGGAAAATATGTAAGAGAAATCATTAAATATGCGGGTCTGTCAAAAATACATCTGTAATAATATCATAAACAAAGCTCACAGATCGGAGACTATACATTCATTAAGAACGATACTGTATTTGTTGATATGTTGTTTTTAATGTTGCTACATGGAAATACCTAACACCCCCATTGATTTTCCGCACTCTTTCCCAAGAAATGGCTGTGGTTAAATGCTTTACATCACCCTATTATGAGGAGCGGCAGAGTTATTTTTGGAACAATCGATAAAAACATGAAGGGATGTATTACCAAGTTTATTTCGCTTTCCTATGCATGGAATGCATTGTTATTGAGAGATCTGTAGGTATATTATAGTTTTTATGCATATCTATTTAGGGGATGTATGGGTCTTCAAGTCTGTCGATTGCAAACAAATAGATTTAGAAAAAATCTTCAAAATGGCACCAGATACATTCAACTTAGCTAACACTATAAAGAAACAAAACATAATCGATTTGTTCACAAACGGGTGATCAAAGTAAATATATTATCAGCAGGATGTTTGACAACACTTATGCTTACCCCTCATCAAACAATTTATGTAAATGGGTGTTGTTTCAAAGTTTAGTGAAAGTCATAAGGACAGGTATGTGTGATTGTATCCGCTCTCCACCTCAGCAGTGACTTCTACTTTCGTTATTGAGTTGGCAAGAGAGGCAATTGCATGAGCTAACTGCTGATTCAGGGATTCTTCTGTGAGAGGTTGGAATTCTTCTTATGACGTACTGTGTTATGTGGTTGCTGGTTTTGAGGGGTCTGATTGTTTGATGTGTTTGTTTATTTTAAGGACGTGTTGTTTCATGGGACAGGTGTTTTTGGTAGATGTGTAAGCAAAGACAAGTAATGGTTATTTATATACATCTATATTTCTTGTAATAAGAAGACTATTCGCCAAATGCATTTGAAAAGAAACTACCTTTTTCCTGGGAACTATTGAAAATAAATCATCACATATTTATACTTTAAATTTGTTAGTTTTCATTCATAATTAACTTTCGTCAGTTGCTCGGTATGGTCAGCTCAAAGTGATATATTGTCTAAATCAGGAACTATCTGTTTCCTGTGTCTCCTATGGTAATTTATAGAACAATTCTCAATGAATTAGTTTAAATTGCTAGAAAAAACATCCGACATCATCCTGAAGTGTTGCATCCGTCATTAAAGTATAAACTTAGCAATTTATCCCACCCTCCAAACACAAGACCACGCCCACACTGACGTGTTAAAAAACACAACAATACCAGTGTCATTGAATAAATTGTTCTCCCTCTCCTTACCAACCTAATTAAATAAAATATTTGGCCGTCGGGTATTATCCTACAAGGAGTCGGGTAATGGCTGATGGGGTATTGGCATGTGGGGTATTGTACCCATGTAGGGTATTGTACTCATGTGGGGCATTGTACCAATGTGGGGTATTGGCATGTGGGGCATTGTACCCATGTTGGATAATGTACCCATGTGGGGTATTGTACCAATTTTGGGCATTGTACCCATGTGGGGCATTGTACCCATGTAGGGTATTGTACCCATGTAGGGTATTGTACCCATGTGGGGTATTGTACCCATGTGGGGTATTGTACCCATGTGGGGCATTGTACCCATGATGGGCATTGACAGTAAACCAGTACATCCTTCGCCTTTGTCAGTAACGTAAAATGTGGTGTATGGAGAATATATCTTTTCACCTAAACAATGACATGTCTTATATTGTTATAGTAAACCACTAAATGCGTGCGGGTATATGGTGGTGTTTCTGATATGGTGAAGCGAGGCACTGGGTTCTGCTAATTGTTCCCGACAGTTCAGATTGTTGACGTTTTGCAATTGGTATTTCAAGTATTGCCCTTTATGCTTGAATATTACACAAGAAAATATTTGAATTGTGTGTTTAACGAATGGGGAAAACCAATTGAGATGCTCGGTATTTACAGGTAACAACATTAAAAACAACATATCAACAAATACAGTATCGTTCTTAATGAATGTATAGTCTCTGATCTGTAAGCTTTGTTTATGAAATTATTACAGATGTATTTTTGACAGACTCGCATATTTAATGATTTCTCTAACATATCTTCCCTGTACTCAAAATCATCGACGTGCCTTGTGCTATTCCCTGGAAGTAATTGATTATGCACAGGTTGACAATGAAACTTGCGCAATGTATCACCCGTGACTATATTGATTGTTTGGTTTCCTGGTAACCGAAGTGTTTGTGTAGACTTGATCACCAACGAGCTTCTACATTTTGTGGATAGGAACAACTAGAACATACTCTGTTGTACGATGGGAACACAGTTTCACTTGAAGGAGCGATAGGTCCTGACTTGTAGGCCTACCTCGCTGTCTGACACTGCCTGTTTGAGCTCATCATCTGCCGTGAGTGTATTTTTCTGTCTGACGCAACTGAGTGTGACGAGGGATTGGGCTACCGTAGGTAAATTAATAAGGACAGCAGATGTTTAAAGTATGTTCAAGTATAGGGTGTATACTTTTATATGTGGACCAGAATAAAGGTGAAATTAGACTTGACTTGAGGTAAGGGGATTTCAGTTGGGTGAATTGCTTGTTATGTAAATGAATGTACAGCTTGGGATCTGTTTGATTCAAGTGAGTAGCTGTTTTCAGTTAAAGTAGGTAGCTTATCGGCAAATCATTTTAAAACACTTGTGATTTTTGTAGAAGGGCAGTGGTGTTTGTAAGTTGATGCGACACAGCCTCGAGTATTGCCTCTCCCTGTTTTATCTGTAATGTGTGTCTGTTTGTTTGTTATTTAACGCTGCACTCAGCAATATTCCACCTATATGACTGTGGTCTGTAAATAATCGAGTCTGGTCCATACAGTCCTGTGATTGACATCACGAGCATCGTTCCGAGCAATTGGGATATGATGACATCTGCAACTGGGAGCACAATTACCTCCGACCTGTCTATTTCTGTCCCGCAAACCGTTCTGTCCGATATCCGAATTTCCATCCCGTTATATTCTCAACCTTTCCTCTCCCATCTTCCAAGATTAATTAACGTTACGTCATAGAGCGCTAGTTACACTGGCCCGTACCAGTCTGCTCCTTGTAACTCAACTTATTAAGCCCAAGATTGATTAATTAACCATCCGCTTGGTGACTTCTACAAGGTTTGGACCTGGCTCCCTCGGCCAATACCATTTATCCCCCTTTTGAACACTTCCCA